AAATTTTGTCTGGTGTCGATTGTGTATTGTGATTTCTCCAGGTTGGAAAGTTAGGACCCAGATGATTGATTTTTCCTAAATTTATTAATTGATTAAGGGCGTTTCCCACGACGTTATTATTTGTATTGTCAAAAATCCTATGTCTGGCGTTAAAGTCTCCTAAGATGTACATCGGATGACTATTGTTAGCCAATTTTAATAGGTCTTCTATAGGTAAGTAGTAGCAATAATTACGTCTCCTTGAGTTGTATTTATTTTTATTGCTAGAAATTCATCCTGGAAGTCATCAATTAGTTTAAATTTTAAGTTTCTTTTAACCGCTATCGCTACTCGTCATTTTTTCTCGCCCGATTTATTTTCTTTGGTTTACATAATGGATTCAGAGTTTTATGTTGTTGTTTTCTGTCTCACCGTATTTCTGTTTATTAGTATAATGTCAGAGGGTCAGTTTCGCGATATATATTACTTAGGTTAATTCTCTCGGTCTTCCAGTTTCTTACGTTGTGTTGTATTATTCTTAAAGTTCTTACTGTTTGTCTATTGTCCATTATTTCTTATGCTTGGATTGTGGCAGTCAGTTGGAGTGGAGACCTATCATCCTGTTTCCCGCTTCTGACTCTTCTATACTCTGACGGGTCTACTATTTTAAAGTCTTTGGCCGTAATCTTTAGTTTGTCCGTAGTAATTAGTGACCAGACATAATCTTCACTTAGGGATTTTTCTTGATATGTCCACTTGTATATCCCTCCTTCACAGTTTTTTACTATTGTCCCTCCTGTTGGTCTCGATGTTGGGATTCCATGTTTTGTTGTAGTGATAACTTTTAATCCAATTTCTTCAGCAGATTCAGGTTGTATATTGTGATCAGTTTCCATCTTATCTTCTCTCCTCCTCCCTCCTTTGTCTGTCCTTTTGTTATTTCTATCTTCTCTTTGTCACTTCTAGTCATTTGTCTGGGATCTCTATCAGTCGCTTGTGTTCCTTGTGTATCAGCTGTTGCTCCTTGCTCAAACCTTTGTTCGTCTTGATGTAGTCTTTCTCTCAGTTCGCTTGCATATGTTGTCTGAAATAGTTTTTCGGATTGTGGATTCTCTGGAAATATCATCTCTGGTAGGTTATTCCAATTTAAACATTTTCCTTAATTCCTCATTGTATGATCCAGGTGCAATGATATTGTGCAAATGTGCATGGATCATATAATCATTACCTTATCATTGGCTCACTTGGGTTTAATGCTGTGGATTCTGGTCTATGAGCCTCTTGGACCGCTCTCTTTGCTATTTCAGCGGTATGTAAGTATCTTCTTGTCTTGTTCCTTTTCCTTGTTTCTTGTACTTTATCATGTGTTTTATTGGGCATGCCATTTGCTAACGTCCTATGTCCTATGTACATTCATTTCTCTTACAGTTGGAGACAGCCAACATGTGTATTCTTACATTCAGTGTAGGTATGGTCGTCCTTACCACAGAAATCTGAGCAGTACTTTTTTTCTTTTTCCGGACAGTCTCTCGTTGTGTGTTCTTCATATTTGTAGCAGGAGAAGCAAGTTTGCAGACTGATGAATGTCTCCTTCTTTATTTGATGTGGTGTGACTGACATGTTGAATATTAGAAAGCCCTGTTGTAAAACTTTCTCAGCCATTGACACTTCTTCAAACATGAGTATAGTCCTTTATCTTAATGACTTCTTCAATCTTCATCCACCTATTTTGGCGTTCAGTTCTTCTTTCAGGTCTTCCTCCCGATCTCTTGATCGACTTGACGAACAAAAACTGATCTTTTTGCTTTTTGTTCTGGTGGCATGACAACAATAAGGCCTTCATTGTAAAATATATCTCTTGCTTCTTTTGAAAGGATTTTATCTGAATCAAAGTCATCTTTACAGATTACTTTAAAACCTTCATTGGTGCTGAATATTCTAGTTAGTGGGACTTGCAGTTTGTTGTAAATTGATTTCTGCCACTTTTCCCCTTCCAATAGAGTGTCCCTTATCTCTATGTTTTATTCTAATGCTAGTTGTCATCTTCTTGATTACATCTAATCCTACCTATAACACAGGGCTCCTGCCTCTTGGACGTCGGGCTCTGCACCCAGGTTACCTAATGACTATAGTAATATCTAAAGAGATTGCCACCTACCGGTGGCCCCGGACAAAGGGGTGCCCTGCACTATCACAGGTTCCCTTGCCGGATCGACCGTATCGCGAAGTCCCGCCTCCCGTTCAAGGAGCGGAGTGCATGAGGGATAGAAAAAAAGGAAAGAAGAGGACTTAGAGAGTAGAAACAGCCCACCTACCACGCCACGTTCGGTCAGCCAATCAGAGCACCGCAGTAAACGTGCATGTATCACGCCACCGTGGGGCACCACTGATTGGCCAATCCAGGACGTAGACGCACGGGTAGTAGTCAAAATTTGGGTAGGCCAAATATTTGTTTTTTCCAAAGTTGGAATTTCCCGTACAATCTGTGATGGTAATTACACCGTCACTATGTTGAGTAAGT